GAAAGTGCATTTAGTTGAATAAAATAATTAGAAATCATTTATAAAATTTTTTTAAATATAAAAAGAAAATAATTGTAGGATTTAAAATTCGATAAATTTACTTTGTATCTAAATTCAAGTTGAAAGAAAACCCTCTCCAATATATAAATCGTATCCATTAAAATTGATCTGATCACCATCATCATTCTAAAAAATAAACTAAATTCAGTTAAGGCTATTAACGTTTTATTACAAAAAAGGGGAAAATATATTTATTTGAATTTACCAAAATTTTCAAGGGTATATTATATTAAATTTTTAAAATAAAAGATAAGATAAATATGAAGATAAATTTGTATATATTTAGGAAGCGTCGCAAGGTATCTAAATATTGAGCAAAAATTCTAATAATAATTACCAGATAAATATTACGGAATGTTGCATATAATAATTTTCCAAGGGAGAAGGATACTCAAGGGTCACCTCCCTCACGTCCTATTCTACGGGCTCTCGTGATAGAATATATATTTTTGTTTAAACATGATATTGTGCTTCGCTGATGTTTATTAGCTTAGGAATTATTTTTCAGAAAACCGATATGTTATGATTAGACAGAAACACGGAAATGGTTTAGATTTAGTTTTTTTAAAAAAATTTATGTGTAAGTGTAACAATTAGGGTGACAGTTGACGTGCAATTATCATTGCCCAAATATATGGTATAAATATATTCAACGATAAAATGTTAACAGCTATTGTTTGATTTTATTGCGGAAAGATTTATTCAAAATATATTGTTCCCAAAGCTGGGATCTTCCTGATGCTATTCCAAGTTTAAAGTTCTTAAATACCGAGGCTTAAAACAAATATCTTATTCAGGCGCGTATGCAGGAATTTGTTCTGGGAGGGGGGGATAATAAAATTTTTTAAGAAATATTATTGTTAATTATAAGCATAAATTTATTAGGACTAATTCACAATTTTAAATTAATGTGAATTACAAAAAAATTATATATATAAACCGGCATTGAAAAACTATAAAATAAATGTGAATTATAAAATATAAAGTGAATATAACCCACGATATGAATCACTTAAATGACCCGAAATTGAAATTTGAATTTTTTGAGCCTTTAAAATATATATATAGTATAAAAATATTTAAAATATTGGAAATATAAATTAATACATAAAAAGTTTCTTAGGAATAATTGTATTTTGTATGTTTTGATCTAATTTTTCAATTATTTATCCTTACTTGGCGTTAAATGCCTATGAATATTCAAAAGATCCAAATCATTCAATGCCATTAAAAAAATTTAGATTATTAATAAAATATAATTTGTGTAAAATAATACATAGCGTTAAAATACTAAATTAAAATAATATAAAATAAAATAAAATAAATAAAATATTATATAAAAACCGAGGTGGGACTACAAGTTCCCAAAAAACATGTGTAGTTATATTTTAAAATTATGATTTGGAGGTTTTGTTTTAAGAAATAAGATTCTTTAGGTTCTGATGTGAGGGCTCTTATCTTATCCCCTATATTTTTTAAAAACTTTAAAGTTCCACTTGGCATATGTCCAAGGGAAGAGATGACAATCGGTGTAAATATAATTTGTGAATTTGGAATATTTCATTGTTTTTTTTTCTCGGCTATATCAACCGGATTAGAATAATACATAAAAAGTTTCTAGGAATAATTGTATTTTGTATGTTTTTGATCTAATTTTCAATTATTTATCCTTACTTGGCGTTAAATGCCTATGAATATTCAAAAGATCCAAATCATTCAATCTAGTTTCAGAAGTTGTATTTCATAGGTATGTTTTTCAGATGCCTCTCCGGCTTATTTTTTCAAACATACCCGGGCCGGGTCCGAAATTTTTTTAAAGAAAAACCCGGGCTGGGCCTGAAAATTTTTTCAAAAAAAATATCCGGACCGAGCTGTATATTTTAAAACCAAATATTTTAAATCGCCATTATTAGCTAGAAAAATCAAAAATAGATATAATTTATTTTAAAAAAATTTTTATTTCTAAAAAGCCGGTTTTTTAAAAAAAATCTGGGCCGTGCCCTGCAAACTGTACCTCTGCAGGGCTCTGTTATTCTTCTTAAAAAAGAGAATGTTCTCTCATTAGTTTACTAATGGGAAGAGTTGTTAATATATATATAACCATTTTAATACATTGGGAATATAATCTAAAATGTGTTTGAAATAATGCAAAGCATCCATAGCAATTTTTAGGACTGTAGCAACCATAGTTAATCTTTTAATCATAGTTATTCAGCTATAAGGCATCATAATATATTTTAACATCTTCATGATAAAAATCTAGCAAATATATTTTTTTTTTCTATCACATCTGAAAAGGTTGGAAAGGCTTTTGTGGAAATAATATCTGCGGATTTGTAAGTATTGCATGATAAATTAAAAAACATTTGTTTTATAATACTCTTCTACTGTTCCTATATTAATGTTTTGACGATGAGCTTGCATACTGCAAGTCGAGGACAAATATTAAACACTTATAGCTCTGCTTTTGACTCAAAAATAACATATAAAATATGAAATTCTTCATCAACATTAGTTCTAATTTCCTTGAGTTCTAATAAAATGCTCTCCGCTATTCTCATCTTCTTAATCAAGATGTCATGTTTTTGAAAAGTATTACATAAAATAGTTGTATAATTAAATAATATATTCTAATTATAAAAAAAAATTTGGAATAAGTATTGAATCCAATAATTTTCTTGCTTCTGAGGAAATATTTCTTTCAAGCCATTGTGATATTTCAGTAATAGCATTAATAATCGGCTCTTCTAACTCCATAAAAGCTGTTACTGCTTGATGGTGGAGACTCGATCTCGTTGGACAAGCTTGCAATTTCTTTCTCCCTGTTGGACAAGGAGTTTCAGAGATAATTATTATTTGACTAGAAATTTAGATAAATATTACGCCACTAAAATTTGAAAATAATAGGTAAATTACGCCAAGGAAAACTTGAAATCGAAATTAATTGATAAAATAACTTAGTAGATGAATGTGATAAATAAATGTAATTATATATATGAGATAGGAATAAATATTAACAATAATATTTTTGAAAAATATAATCCGGCATCTGCATTTTTTGGCTTGGGGGGAAGATTTGTCCCCCTGCCCCCCCCCCCCCGCTGCGTACGCCAATGCCAATATCAATCAAGTAATGTTTAAATGTAGATTCATGAATTATATATTAAGATTTATATAATATCTTATGACAATATTATATGTTATAAGAATTAAATAAAATTTAAAATTTAATTGTTGTAGTTGCTTTTATTAACCTAAAATGTCGCATATCAAAAATCATCGAGATGTGCCACCAACCATTCTACCCATAACGGAAGCCCCGACACTTAAATTAAATTTCCGTAATTATTGTAAAAACTTGTTGAGAAAAATACATCCTTTTTTAAAAAAACTATTAAAAACTTGAAAGAAAATTTTGGGAAAAAACTTTCGGTATTCTATGCACAATAGGAATAAGTGGATTGAAAAAATTCACAGGCTTTTACTGCGATAAAATTCAAGGCATACCTGGGTGAATTATTCGCGCTTTTACCATCAAATTCATGACATACAATGGATAATGCTCCAATACATCGAGCGAGGATAATTAGTGAGAATTATCCAAATATCATATTTTTGCCACCCTATTCGCCGCAATTAAATCCGATAGAAAATTTTTTCGGAGTAATTAAAAATCAATATAGATCAAATTCTCCTAAACCCAATAACCGAAATGAAGTTATTTCAATTGTTACAGACAATTATTTTACATATAATTTTTCAAATTTTTATTCTCACACCATAAAGTTTATTAAAGAGGGAATTCGATGCATTCCTTTAAATGATTTGAATTTGTAATTGATTTATATTGTGCAATATTTTATTTACCAAGAATAAATAAATAATAAATGGTTTTTTTTATTTTGGTGTTTCGAATTGATCATAAAAATTTCTAAACAAATAAGAATTATCTGAAAACCCTAAATTCGAGTTTTCACTCATGTTTATATAAGAAATTATTCAAATTTCTTATCCTGATTTCCATTCTTTGGATAACTAAAAGTAAAATTAAAATATTGGAATAATTCTTTAAATTTAAAAAAGGTATTGTAAAAATATTAGAAAATTTTTTTTATATAATATCTTTTAAAATTCTTATTTTTCCACTTAAACTTATGTCCAAAACATAAAAAAACTATATTCGATTCATAACCTTGACGTTAGTCTTCATTAAAGTTTAAGAACTTTATTATTAAAATTTTTTTTTTGAATTCTCATCTTTCCACTTAAACTTGTGTCCAAAAAAACTATTTGATTCATAACTTTGATGTTAGTCTTCATTAAAGTTCAAAAACTTTTTTAAAAATTTTTTTTAAAAAATTTAATTTATATCAAAATGTTTTTTACAATAATTATGGAAAGTTATTTAACTATATAAGTATGTTTTTTCACATTATGAAAATGTGTTGCATCATATTATTACTGTATATATATATATATATATAAACTACCTTCAAATATTAACTTTAAAAATGTTTTAAATATAATATTCTGAGTCAGGGGTCCATTATACTTTATTAAAAGTTTCCTATAATCTTATAATAGTTAATAAAAAAAGTGAAGTTGTTATAAGTTGAATTTTTTGGTAACAGGAAATCAATATTTATTTTTAGAAAAGCGATTTGTTATATATATATATAAACTGGTTTAAATCGTTAGAATTTTGCCAACTAAAGACCTTTTTTTTAAAAAAAAATTATTATTTAATATATTTTCTTCTTTTATAATAAGCCTCTCGGTCATTTGTCATGGTTTATATTTTTAAAAATATTTTTTTTTTTATATAAAAAAATTTATATAAATTTAATATCACATTTTCATTATAAAAAATTAATATGTATTTTATTCAAAAAAAAATTTTTTTTAAAATTTTTTAAAATAAAAATTAAATATTTATATATTTTTTAATAGTAATAAATTTAGAATTATGAATATTTTTTAAAAAAGAAATTGAAACATAAAACAAACTTTAAAAAAAGACAAAATATTTTGAAAGGACTTTCTTCAAATTCCATGGAGGAAAATGAAAAAAATATTTTTCGTATACAAATCCGTTAACAGAGTAATAATAATAAATAATAATAATAATAAATAATAATAATAATAAATAATAATAAAAATAAATAAGAAAAAAAAGGAAGATGGAAATATTAACGAATTCCGTAAATAAATCTAAGGAAATATAAAATGTACGCTATAACCCTTAAATAAGTTACCCTTGAACCTTATCTTAGCCCCTATCCATATGTTAGTTTCGGTGAAACTGAATCAAGACATTTACGAAAGATAACTTTTAGGGATCAAAATCTTAATTCCTAATAGAGCCGGCTTTTTTGAGTAAGTATTTTTATATTTTCCAAAATTTTAAAATCATACTGAGGAAGAAAATACACTGAATTGTCAATTGTCGTGCTATGCCCCTTCATATACAACTGTGTTCCAATTGAAAACTGATATACTTTTTTGTTTTAAGTAATAAATCTGTCAGTTCTAAAAACATTCGATAAATTATAAAGAAAAAGGGATATTTTCTGCAAAATTCCATAATATTCTATCAACATGTGGCCCAAAGTTATGCACAATTGAAAAGTTTGACATGCAAAATTCGAAGTTTCCAAAATGTAAAAAAAAAAAAATCATATTTTTATTTAAAAAAAAAATTAAACTTTACATTTAATTCAGATGACTAGATTTTAATCAAAATTTTAACAAGAAAAAGCAGAGCCAAAAGGTTTTTAAAGGAATTTCCTAACAGAAAACTGGTCTATCACAGACTCAAATCTATTGATTTTAGAAATTGATACTAACGAATCGGCAGAAAAATCGTGGTGATAGATTACGCATAGCTCGCACTATGAAGAAAATATTAATTCTGATGAAACGTACGTATTGAGTTAAAGAAAAACCCGGACACCCCACAGAAAAAATTCTTCAAGTATTCCCTAGACTGGTATTTCCAGAACTTCAGTACATCGGAATATCCATGAAGAGCTGCAGTTGAATTTTAAAAAAAGAAGACCACAAAATAAATTAATTTATTTCTATCGATAAAATTACATTTTAAGGAACCAAAAAAAGTGGAAAGTCTAAATTACAATATTGTTTCCAATAATATACATCAGAAAACGGGATAAACTTTGTAAGGCCAGGACCCTAACCGGTGCGAATAAGATTCCCCGTCTAGACTAAACTGCTTCTTAGAAAATACTATCAGAGATTAGTATCTTTTCATATAATTCACGGATAAAAAGCTAAAAGCTGTTTACAGTAACTCCGACAAATCTGCAAAACGATAGGGCTTACGTTACAGTTTCAATGAGAAAATTTTTTTTTGCAGCTAATCAATTTCTAGTACAATTGCTTAAAAGGTTGGTTTTCATGTTTATCTTGAATTGTAAAGTTAAAAGAAAAAATTAAATTTTTTTACATGTTGAAAAGTTCGAATTTTGTTTGTCCAACTTTGAAGTGTGCATAACATTTTGACTTCTGTCGATAGAATTTGATTTTTAAAAAAAACATTCATAATTTATTCTTCTCTTAATCTATAAAATTTTATTAAATTATATTTAGAATTTGTGAGATTTATGCCAAAACAAATAGGGTATCAGAACACAGTGTATAAATTATATTGATTTTATTTTAAAAATCAATTGTCAAAGTTTCTAATATTTATAATACTTTAGAGTGATTCACGAACAGGGTTGCTAGGTCAAAATTTTCAAATTGCGGGAGAAATTTTTATATTTTGCGGGTTTAAATATGAAATATGAGGTAGAAATATAAAAATTGCTAAAAAAAAAATTTTTTTGCGGATTTTTATTGGATAAAAATAAAACATATGAATAAGGTGAGGATAGTAAGGAAAAAAAATTTACAAACTAGATACGTTTTTTGAATAAATATTTAAAATTTATTTTAAAAATAAACATTTACCGTTTCTCAAAAATTATTCTTTATATATTAAAAAGGTTAAAATGTTTAAAAAAAAATTGTGCGGGAGAAATTTAAAAATTGCGATAGTTTTGCGGGAGTGAGATGTCTGCGTGTAAACTAAATTATTGCGGGAGTCTCCTACTGATGGGGGTAGACCTGGCAAACCTGTTCACGAATCAAGCAAGCTGCTTACAAATAAAACCAAGAAATTATTTATGTATTTTATATACACTTAGCTTTTCTGTCAGTCATATTATTTTTCTTATACTTAGAACAAGGGTCAATTGGTTATTCCGAACCTTACTTCCTTTTTAAATTCTAGCGTTTTTTTTAAAAAAGATACATTTAAACCTGTAAAAGATAAAGTGATTTATAGGGTTGTATTACTACAAAAATCAAATCAATCTAATTCGAAGCGTATAATGAACAAAAATTTAATCAGTTTTACACCTTTTGATCACAATAATGGAACAAGGATAAGAATCTGATAACCGAATAAAACTTGGAAACCATATTGAAGCGGAAGAATGATTTTAAAAAGTTCTTAGACAGAATATGCTCTAATAAAAGTGCATGTATTCTATAATATTCATATGCTGACTCATTAGCTTATTTATTGATTAAATTTTTTTTCATTGCCTTAACAGATAGAGTTTAGTACTAAACAGGTGGGTACGCAGTGTAGGAGTAAAATGGCAAATCCTAACTTCCAAGCCAAAGAATATTCGGATGTCAGCTAAAATATTTCAAAAAAAATATTACTTTTAATGATTATTAAATTTATGTTTTATAATAATCATTCAAACCTCTCATCGAATGTAAATCACCGATTTACATTTATTTATCATCTCCACAGAAGAAATAAATATATTGAAACCTAAGGAAAATTAGGGTAAATCTAGGAGATGAATTTAAATAAGTTATATCTCATTTTTGACTCTAAAGCAGAGCTCTATGATATAAATATTTGTCTACCTCTACTCAAATCAAGCCAATGTTTATCCCCCTCTTGGATACTTTTATAGCTCAAACAAATGAATGGTTTTTTAATTAATGAATCAGCACTTACAAATTTGGAAATATAATGCAGAATCCTTTCGAATCTTTCAAATCTTATGTAAGAAAAGATTAAATATTTGGAAATTTTTTATTGTGAAGATTAGTGTTGTTAAACGGCTCGTTTTGAGCCGATTTTTAATTACGGCTAACAATAATTCATCCAGAAAAATCTTACCCAAGCCTGAAGATTTTGCTCATAGAAGGAACAAAGGTCTAGAGATATATTAAAAGAAAGAAAGAAAGAAAGAAAGAAAGAAAGAAAGAAAGAAAGAAAGAAAGAAAGAAAGAAAGAAAGAAGAAAGAAAGAGATAGAGAAATCTTGAGGTTTAGACAATATTTTTCTGGTTAAAATATTGAGTTAGCCGTAACGAGCCGTTTAACAATACTAGTGAGGATCTTAACTTATCTCATGATGCATACCTAAGCTCAATGCAAACTAATGGTATAAAAGATTAAACATGGTTGATAATGTTCCAAAAATTGCTATATATGCTTGGCATTGTTTAAAAGATTATTTTTCTTAAACATATTAAAATTATTGTATATTTTGGCAACTCTACCCATTAGTACTTCTACTACTGAAAGAACATTTACTTCATTAACAAGAATAAAAACGTTGAGAAGTAGTGTTGTTAAATGGATCAAATTCATAAAAACGGTCTTAATTCTAGCGATAAAAATATATTGCTTATGCCTTGAGATTTCGCCAATATATATGTCCAAACATTTATACCATATATGAGCGATATCTTCAGGGTTTGTGCAAGATTTTTCTGGATAAAATATTGAGTTAGCCCTTTTTAAAAAAAATAGACTCATATCGAGTCTTTTAACAACATCCTTGAAGTACTACCTTTGAATAGGTGCTAGCGCATCTTAGTATACACAGGGAGTCGATACCAAGGACGGATGAAATCATTGAAAAATTAGCTCAATCCCAAATTGAATTTTAATACATTATATTTTAATTATATAAGGGTTGTTAAACGGCTCGTTTTGAGCCGATTTTTTAAAAACGGCTAACTCGATATTTTAGCCAGATAAAATATTGCCTAAGCCTCTAGATTTCTATAATACATGTATAGTTGTTCCTTCTATGAGCAAAATCTTCAGGCTTGTGCATTATTTTTTTGGACGAAATATTGAGTTAGCCGTTTTTTAAAAATCGGCTTAAAAACAAGCCGTTTTAACAACACTATATTTTTAAAATACATCGTATATTTTTATACTTTGTAAGTTTTTATATTGTTAGCGTCAATGTGTTATTTTCTTCAACTTTAATGAGTTTTTTAAGCGCGTTTTTTTTAAAAATTTAAAATTTTGATTCTACCGGAAATGTAATCCACCATGTTTAGAATACTTAAAATATGAATTTTATATAATTTTACCTATATCTCTCGAGTCATTTATAATATATGTATATTTGGTCACAAATTCGCGCCAAATGTTGCCGGGTTATGTATAACACATGATATAGAAAATCGGTGAAAAATTTTTTTTATAATTAATCTCTGAAGATTTATATTGTCTCTAATACTATGCTGGATAAAAATTCCTGCAAAAGCAAGTCTTTATAATATTAAAAAGAAAAAAATGTTGGCTATAAATGCTTCAAATATAACATGAATTCCATTCTAGTAAGTACCCAAGAATACGACTAGTGTTGTTAAACGGCTCAATTTATGCCGACTCTTATCCAGAAATATTACACATGCTTGAAGATTTTGCTCATAGACTGGTTCAAAGGTTTGTTGGACATCTATTATCGAAATCTCCAGGCATATTACAATATTTATCTGGCTTAAAATATTGAGTTAGCCTTTTAAAAAATTACTAATGTTGTTAAACCATCTAATTTTGACCAGCTCTAAAACGGTTTGGCCAAGTTTTTTGTCCAAAAAAAAATAGTCTCTAGTTGAAGCTAAACTTAGACGTATAAGTCAATTTTTTAAGGGATAATCTTGACCATGTCATATTGGAGTTGGTCAAATGTAGATGATTTAACATCACTAGAATATACAAAACGAAATGCAAAAATAAATATAAATAAATTTTAATTTTAAATATTACATAATATAATAAGTAATTTTTCTCCATGGTTTAACACTAATACCCTTTTAACTCTCTTGTTATGTAATTCTTTTTTTGACACAAAAAAAAATATATATACTTTATTAATATCTATTTGATATTTTAATTTTTATCAAACAGAATTTTAATATAGTTATATTTATATTTAGTGTGTCTAAATATTATAAATGTTGACCTTCAAAAAGGCTTTCTTTATAAAGGGATTAGTAAATAATATAAGTAAATATATAGTAAATTTATAATAACATTCTTATTTATATAATATTGATAAAAGTAAAAAAAAGCTTTAAAAATTTTTAAAATATTATATTCGATTACGATTAATTTATAATATAATTTTATCTTATAAAACTTCACATAAATAATAATATAGTATGTATTATAAAAAAAACTAAATTATTTTTTTTTGATTTAAACTTAATTCAATTATAGTAATATAAGAAATAGAATAGAAATTGACTAGAATTCAATGTTCACTGGATTAGAAAATTGTTATTAAAATGCAAAAAAAATAATGATTCTTGAAGGGACAGTTATTTCACGATTATTATTTTATTAGGAATAAAATCATTGATAAAAATTTCATTATAATGCCATTATATTTATATTCAAAAATCCAATTCAATATTAATTTTTCGAAATCGCTATCAATAAATATTGCAATAATTATCTAATTATTGTTTCTAAAAAAAAATCAATCAATGGTGCTTTATATTTAATCGGTTGTTTGAATATTTTTTCTTCCAACCATTTTAGTGCCAATTTAACGATATAAGTGAATGTAACTCAGAATTGAACAGCTGCTGCCTATAGTGAAACGTAATAACAAAGTAATTCAACGAGAAAAAAAATGAAGAAATGAACCTAAATTACAAAATTATCAATTGTCTTTTTGGCCATATTTCGAAAATATAATTTTTTTTTTGATAAACTGGTTCGACTAAAGCTGAATAGGTTTTCTGTATAATAAATAATCCATTATATCAAAGAAAGAAGTCAAAAAAAAAAGTTCTTTAGAAGATACAAAATGAAAGCTAATCATATTTATGAATTTATAATTTTTCCTTTTTATAATAAAAAAAAATAAATAGAAAATGATTTTTTCCTTTAAAATTTTTATATTTTCAAAAATAATAAAATAATATTTAAAAAAAATTGCTACAAAATTAAAAGTTTTTTGGTATTTTTGACAAATTATATGGTTTTAGAAAATTGAAAAAAAAATGATATAAATTACTTAAAAAAATATATTACACGATGATTTAAGGGCGGATATAAGAAGCAAGGAAATTCTGAATTTTTAGACGATCCAGCATCGTTGTCCGCTTCCTCCAAGAAGAAGCAACACGAAAATAATGAGATGGTCAATGAGATGATCTTAGCGGAGGAATCTATAGAAGACACCGATAACGATAACGGCACCATTAATTCCGAATTCGACCCCTCGAAACTTATTACACCCCTCGTCTCCCAACCCGAATCAATTCGTATTCACGGCCATTCCTCAACCTACCATGTACATTTACGCCGAAGGTGGAGGTGCGCGCACAAAATCCTTCGTTTTCGTGTTCGTGATAATAGGATTGATGTTATCTATATCGGCACTGGTAGCCACGGTAGCTTATCTCATCAAAAAGGAAGGAAAACCGAACAAGAGCAGCTCAAAGTCTAGCCTGAAAAGGCCGAAATCCGATAATAAGTCTAAAATGAGGGCTTCATCTCAAAGATTATTCAAATACCCTCCGGATAAGATCTTGAATGGTACTAGCATCGATACAAGTTGCGTTTCTATCAAGAACCCCGATTCTCAGCAAGCAAGAAAGTGTGGTGTTAAGAATATTTCCCAGGCATCGTTTCATTCATCAAAACCTACCGTTTACAAGCATAACGGTAGAAAATTTAAAACCTTTTCAGAACCGAGCGATTCTCGCAGATATTCATTTTTATCCCTAAACGATCAATACAATTCAAAATCTAAGCAAAAAAGTAACCAAACTATCTGCAACACAGATGCATCGAGATACAACATAAAATCGCCTTGCTACCCCCCGCTAATGCAGGATAGGAAGCTAAGAGAATTTAACAGTATTCAGGTCGCCGGACACGCTTTACATAGAACGATCTAATAGCAATAATGATGATGGCGTTGATGGGATAGATAATCCTCGACATCACAGTAAATGTAGTAGCTTGGTGCTTAACTCCTCCGGCAATAACCCCCAAAATACTAATATGGCATCAAAGTCAAAGATTTTTCCACCCTCGAAAAGAAAAACATGCGCATCTTCAGATTCGGTTTTTACGAACGACGATTCTGGCAGACCCTTGACCAGATTTTCCAGAATCGAGACGGGAGTTCCCAACAGACCCGATTACAGGTTTATCCTAAATAAAAAATGTGTTTATGATGCCGACGGAGACGACGAAAATTATTTGTTGACCAGTTTTGTCAATTTCGACAAAACCAAGGATACCTCAAGGTCGTATTCTGGAGAAGAAATTACGAAAAGACGCGCCCGAGATGACGCGAACGCACTATATTACATTAAAAATATTAGGCATCCGCACAGTAGCGACGATCAGTCGTATAATCGCTCCCGTTCCAAATCTTCTAAAAATGAATCGAAGGGTGAATATTGTTCCGACGAAATTTGGCAAAAAAAATCTGCGACTCTATCGAACAGATTCGCCGATTACGATTGCGAGATGCCAAAACCCGTCAAAAATTTTACGAAAACCAGAGGGCCCCACGTGATTTGCTTCGAAGATGATTTACGAAATTTCGGCCATAAACCATCGCCAAAAGCGCCGAGGAAAGAATCTTCGGGAGTTTCTAATACAGATAAATTTAAAGATTACCGTTTCGATAAGGCGAATACCGCTGAAGGATATGACAACAATATGCGATCATGTTTTGACCAGATCAGGAGTAGTTTACTAAGTTCAGAAGGGCAGGCGATTGACTCTAACGGCGGCCCGGAACAGTATTACATATCTAATAGGACTCATTTGCTGCAACCTTCTACTTTAAAATCATCAGAAAAATATGAATATTTATGAACCCCATGTTATGTTAATTTTTTTTATTATCAATCCATAGATATAATAAATCGAATATTTTTTTCCCCATCAATGCAAAATGTAGAGAGATAATTTCAAATCATTAGAGTTCGACTTTTCAATAAGGGAAATTTGTTTTTTTAGCAATAATTTAAGTTAAAATTAATTATGCATATATCTAATACGTAATAATATTAATATATTATATTGAAACATTTCACATGTGACCTCAAATTATTAAATAATTATGATAATTTTAATCCTATTTTTCTTAAAAAAAAGTGATTTTTTTTTACTAATTACTAGGATAGGTTGAACCATCCTAAGAGATTCTTAATATTTATCTGCTAATCTCAAAAATTCAACTGCTAAAATATAATATATAAAAACAACTCTTATAATTAAGATCTTATATTATATATATATATAGCATATTTATTAGATTTTAGAAATGTGTACATGTGAAAGTCTTTTAAAGAAATAAAATAAACAAGGATTATTATAACTTTCGAATTATGCAAAACGTTTTTTTTTCTTTTTATCTATTAATTTAAACTTTTTTATACATAAATTTAAATGGTAATCTATAATATATTCATAAATTTATTATATATATATTTACATATTATTTGTCATTTTTGATATATGGAATAAAAAAAAAAATTACAGGCAAAATTTATTGATTTTACGGATTAATTTATTTCATTTTTTTTTAAATAAAAAGAAGAGATGAAGCGCATTAGATAATTTCTTTCTTTCTTTCTTTCTTTCTTTCTTTCTTTCTTTCTTTCTTTCTTCCTTCCTTTCTTTCTTCCTTCCTTCCTTCCTTTCTTCCTTCCTTCCTTCCTTCCTTCCTTCCTTCCTTCCTTCCTTCCTTCCTTCCTTCCTTCCTTCCTTCCTTCCTTCCTTCCTTCCTTCCTTCCTTCCTTCCTTCCTTCCTTCCTTCCTTCCTTCCTTCCTTCCTTCCTTCCTTCCTTCCTTCCTTCCTTCCTTCCTTCCTTCCTTCCTTCCTTCCTTCCTTCCTTCCTTCCTTCCTTCCTTCCTTCCTTCCTTCCTTCCTTCCTTCCTTCCTTCCTTCCTTCCTTCCTTCCTTCCTTCCTTCCTTCCTTCCTTCCTTCCTTCCTTCCTTCCTTCCTTCCTTCCTTCCTTCCTTCCTTCCTTTTTCCTTTCTTCCTTCTTGGGGAGGAAAAACAAGAAAGTCAGTGGAAAAAAAAATAAGTCTAAACGACTATTTCCAATATTTTAGCCAAAAAACGTATTCCGCAAGTCTGAATATTTTTTGCCCACAGGATGATAGAAAGTTTTGGACATCTATTAACGAAATCTAGAGGCTTCTGTAACATTATTTTTGGCCTAAATTCTTAACAATAAAATTAACCACAATGTTTTAATTACAATATATGTTATTTAACCAAAATAAAAATAGCCGGAATCAATCTCTAGTTAAATAAACCTTGGAGAAATTTATTTCAACATAGATTTATTTTTATTTCAAAAATACTCCATTTTGTGCTTTTTTTTAAAGCAAATAAAATGGTTTCTTTGCTTTGAAAGAATTTCCTAAATTAATTTTATAGTTTCCGGTATTGTTTTTATTATTATTTTTTTAAACAAATAGAAAAGGTATATAAAATTTTAGCCTTTTCTAACTATATATATATTTTTCTTTGACCTTATATACTTTTAAGTAGTGTTGTTAGACTGTTCAATTTTACCCGATTTTAAGAACGGCTAATTCAATCATTTAATCCAGAAGAAAGAAAGAAAGAAAGAAAGAAAGAAAGAAAGAAAGAAAGAAAGAAAGAAAGAAGAATAATATTACGCAAGCCGGAAGATTTTACTTAAAAATGGCACGAATGTCTAAGAGAGCTACTAGCGAAATCTCGAGGCTTAGGCATCATTTTTTTTTCTGATCAAAATATTGACCTAGCCGTTTTTAAAAATCAGCTCAAAAACGAGCCATTTAACGGAACTACTTTTAAGTTAAAGATTACTTAATTTTTCGAATTATTTTTTTTTCTTGAAAACGATTTTAAAATAAAAATTATTTTTTTAAAAAAGGTTAAGATAGTTGAAATGATTGTTAAAATTTTTAATAGGGGGGGGGGGGTAGAGATTTAGATTTTCCATTTCCACTGCTAATTTTGATTTTCATCTCCTATTTTTTTTTTAAAATATGTTAATTTTCCAGGGAAAGAGAAGGCAGAGGGAAGCTATAAGTGGGGGTAATATTGTCATAGATTTAGGTGGGAGAGGGGTAGATATGCACTGATATCTTAGTAATAAAAAAAATAATAGGCATAATATAAAGATACTTATTGACGATAACAGTTGGCGCGTAACAAAATTTCCAGGGATTCTTCGGTTTAAAAATTTTTTTTGGGAGTCCTGAGAATTTATTAAATATAAGCAAAACTAAACATAGAAAAAAAAATTTATCTTGAAATTTGGCCACTCAACGGTGTCATTGATGAATAAGGCTTACACGCTAGAAGTCACCTATTCATTACTAGCAGTTTTTACAATTATTTATATATATATTTTTTTTATAGTTTAGATCAATGTTTAGAAGGTAAAAATTCAACTGCTTATGCCTTTATGATGTAATTAGAGCCAGAACTCTAAATTTGAAAGAACACACACTGCTGACCATTATACTTATCTAGATGTAAAACATTCTTATAAAAAATTAATAAGCCGATCATTGAACTACGGACCTATTATGAGCTTGCAAGGCAATATTCCGGCCGTTTTAACACGAATAATTATTATTTTTTGGTTTCCATAATTAAAGTCATGTTCGTGTGTAGAATAATACACTATATTTTTTTCTTTTATAAAATGATATTTTTTTTGTGAGAACCTTTGTAGCCATCACCGTACCACAGTTTACAACCCCCCCCCCACTTATATTTAGCTAATTGGGTAATAATGTTTATGATTGGCGTTACATCGGTTTAATAATTTACAAACAACATTTTATCATAAAATTTGATTATATAATTTAGATTAGTGATCTGCATCGGGCCTAATTTTTCAAGCCGGTCCGGCCCGAAATTTTTCTAAAAAAGATATGCCGACCCGACCCGAACTAGCATTTTTCTAAAAAAAAATTTTTACCCGATCAGGCCCTTTCCTGAATTTATTTAAATATAGAAATTAATTTTTATAATTACTCAAAATAAAATATATGTTATGTGGTGTCTAGTTTCTATAAATAAATTCGAATATTTTTATTTTAGATAAAAAATTCTACATAAATTTGATGAATTTAAGATATATTCAAAAAAATTTCCAAAACTCGACCTGACCAGGCCCGATTATTTTTAAAATAAGTAGGTCCGACCCGTACCCGGCCCGAACCCTACTTTTGTAGATCTCTAGATTTAGATTACAATAAAAGTGTGCGCAAAAAGATTTACAAAAAATAAAATAAAATAACCATTTTAAAATTTTAGGTCTACGGTAATAAAACATGAGCTTTCTAATCTTTGCGAAGAGAACATATTTTCAACTTTACATTCGAATGGCAGGCATTGAAATCCTGCCGTAATTCTATAAATCATATGTTAACGTTTGAGTTTCAGATATTTTCACCAAATTGATACTAAAAAAAAAATCAAAGAACGATTTAGATGATCAGTGTCTACATGATTGAAGGGGATAGGGGGGGGGGGTATTCGTATTTATAAAGATTAAGATTTCCAATCGTTTCAAAGAAAAATTAGGTTAAATTGAAGAAGTAGATTTTAGAAAAAATGACGTCAGTAGGCCTAGTAACCAGTCACTTTCGAACAATTTTTTTTAAAAATTATTTTATAACTAAAAAAAATGTAACGAATATATTTTTCCGAAATAACATTTTTATTCCATGAAATCATATATTTTTTTTGTGTTCGGATCAAATGAAAAAATAAAATAAAATAGACGATTAAATATGCACAAAGTAATCATTCTTTTTATTATATACACATTAATTTATACATTCTCTATGGTTATTTTTTAACCTTTTTGTAAGAGTATCCTCTAGAGTAATAAATATTTGGTATATAAAAGGGAGGGAAAAAAAAATTATGAAAGGAATAAATTTATGAGAAATCCCTTCTTTGCTCTTGAAAAAAATTTGAAATAATTTATTTACTTTTTTTTAATATGGGGATATTATGTTTAAATAATAATGTATTGATTTATTTTTAAAAAGAATTGATAAAAATTTCACGACCATTTGATCCAGAGTCCATTGGTTAGGCACGATATTCCGGTCCTGTCCTGTTCTTTAAACTTGGTCCTAAGATAATCTGCCCTTAGAATGGCACATTTTAAAGGACGCATCTAGTCCTCACGATCAGTAATAAGCTAGTTGGTCTCCTTATCTCCGTGATAGTTAAAATTTTGATCTTCTGGTCCAATCCATCGGTTATATATAATATCGGTTCCAAAATAAAACATAATAAGACGCCACTTCACATCCAATTCTAGCAACAACAAAAAAATTACAGGATCGATTTTTTCAATTTTAAAACTTATTTCTGCAACACTTCCTTAGGAAACAAATCTTTCATTCCACTTTTGCCTGAAAGCAGTGGACGTAAACTAAAAATTATTTTTTTAAAATTATAAAATTTCAAGAGGGGTTTTTTCAAATTTTTCAGGGAGATTCGAGCACCTATGCGCCACCCCCCAACCCTTCCCTAGTACCACTGCTGATTGAAAATACATATACAAATCAAAATTATCTCTAAAAGATTTTCATATAGAAATCAAAATTTTAGGGCCGCCATGGAATTTAAAAAATATTTGATTTTAAATATCGGAGCCAATGATATAAAATGATACCTATTGAAAGCGTCGTTGAATTCAAATCAGCTGGACCTGCCATTTTGGTAAATATAGTAATTATTCTCATATTAAAAACTACTACCATTTCCTTATTATCTCGATGATCAGGCAATTCGTTAATAAAGTTTGCGTCAGACAATAAGGAATAAATTGGCCTCTCGTTTAAAATTTTTTAATTGTGATAATAGATAGGGTAATCAAAATGGCATCCCCAGCTGTTTTCATTGATGTACACCTTTAATGAATCGAAATAGGATAATATATAAAAGTATGACTGGGCTCCAATTCAGCTATAACTAGAATTTGTAGAGATGTTAGATTATCAAACCAAAGAGATACAATATTATTATTTAAAACTTATATATACATATATATATTTATTATAAATATTACAGGAGACGGATTGGTTAAATATAAGAATTACATTTTTTTCTTCTAATGTTTCCTAGGAACTATTATATTTTATACCTTTTATTTAAAAAAAAATAAAATATAATAATATTTCTAAGGCTAACTCCTCCAGAAAATACTACTTCGATTCTCCCAGAAGCCAGTACGTTTTAATCATCCCCTTATCCTACAAAAAAAAAATTAATAAATAAAAAAATAATTAAGGGGTTTAATTGCTTGTATTTCGATAAATCCTCTTTCTTCGATCCTGAAATTTCTGAAATCTTCCAAGGCCTCTTTGGATGCTTGGCTTATGTGGATCTTCATAGCTGAAATATTTTTGTTTTTTATTTTGAAATACACAAAAGTTGATATGGTATTTAAATCAAGGGGCTGCGGCTAACCCGAATAAGAGGTCAGGAATTTTTAGCTCTTATTTACGGAAATTTTGATGCACAGGAAACTTAATCGAAACGGATTTTCTAAAAGATAAATCCAACACCCCGGGTCTTTATTACCCCGGGTTCGATAGGTTTTTTTTAAAATCATAAATAGGTCTATGTTTGTCTCTTTGGACTTTAAAATACCCTATAGAATAATTCAAAATTTCTGAACTCCTTATGTTGGTTTAAATAATGATAATGTGATACCTACAAAATGTAACGCGTTTATTTTAATCTAATTTTCAATTTTCCCATCCAAATGATATGTATATGGGATATCGCTCGGCCAAGTATTATAATATTCTATATCCAATTTCTTTGCATAGAACAATTTTCTTCGTTACTACATTTTCTAATATCAACAATAAATGCATGTAGAAAACTCGAAATGGATTTTATTCTTATGAGGTGGATGATGGGAACCGAATAATAAGGAAACAATACGACAGAGAAGATAAGTGTGGAAAAAGTAGTAACATTAGAAAGAAAAACCTAAATATCTGATGAAGTCGCCATTTAACTTGAAGAGAAAACATCAAATATAATTTTAAAATATTCCTATATTTCTATTATTATAGTGTAAGTATCTGCTAAAAATACAAGAAATATATTTTTTATTTCAAAAATGCTCCCTATAAAAATTTTAAAAATTTTGATATAGAAGCACTATAGTACTCAGCCGACAATGTTCCTTAAAAAAAGCTTCTAGATAGTTGCGTCTTAGTACATGATTGATTACCAAAAGGTAAATAAGCGGGGGTGGTGGGGTAAACTATTATAATTAAACTTTTTATAATGAGTAAAATTATAAAGCTGCTTTCATGGCTGAGACCGACATGTGATCCGTCGATAATCGGACAGAAGTCAATCTCATTAAAAATTATAAAAATTTTCATAATACGATTTTATACGATCCCCCCTATAAATAAGCGTATCCTTTCAAACTAATGTACACTTATATCATATTATATTGACTTCGGACTATTGACGGACTATTGACGGATCGGATGTCCATCTCCACTATGAAAGTAGCCTAAGACTATAAATATTACCTTCCCCTTTGGATTCCATCTTAGACGCCATTATGATAGTATTTCCAAACAAACAGTATCTAGGCATTTTTAAACCAACTATACCCGCGGCGCATGATCCTGAAAAAAAAGGATAATAGTGAATCGTTTGAATATAGGAGTGATGTAAACGGCATTCATTAAAAATAATTCTAAAACAAATTAAGATGTCTTTAAGAGGTCATTCTAGATCACTTTTTAATCTCAGATTTATTTTCCCAACATGGTAAATTGTAATTAACTATTTTTTTTTTAAATTCCACGGGGAAAAGTTATATTTTGTAATATCAGCTGATTAAAAATTAGATGAAATGAAACTCCTCTTACGAACTAAAGCATTTTTTAAAAAAAAACTGCTGGAAAAAAAACTAGGTAAGGGCGGCCTCTAACTCCGCGTTCACAGTTAGCGCGAATTCGCGCAGAGATATACAAAAATCAATGTATTTATATGATTTTATATAACACGCCGCCAATTTCCACTCATAGGAATGCAATTCCAGGTTGATTTATTAGAAAATAATGGTTGGAGTAGAATTAGAAATTCCTAAACAATCAAAATTTTTCAAGCCTATACAATAAATTTCCAGAAGTCTGTCAAAATGTTTTACAAAAATCGTAAAAGGTTTTATAACACGTTCTTGAAACTCGGGAATGTATACCGGAAATACATATTTTTAATCCCTAGTTTTTCTAAAAATAAATAAATGACACGTTTTTTGGCGGCGAAACGCCATTTTTTTTAAAACCTGTGTGAATGCCTATTCTTATTTCTAGTTTATCATCTTTGGGATGCTTTATATGGGATATGTTATCTCTGATAGCTAACGCGAATCTGCAAATTTCTCTCACGTGCCTATTTCCGTTTCTTTTTGGGAGTCCTGAAACTACCATGTACGCGTCACCTATAGTTTCAACCTTTTTTTTTTCAAAATATTTCAAAAAATTTAAATTTAAAAAAAAAATCGTTTATTATTCGCGCCACCAAATAAAATAAAGACTCAGGGTAAGGATGAAGTTAAAATTCTGGGCAAAAAATTTATATAAATTGCTAAAAATAATGTGATCGATAGTTTAAACATTACATAGGGCAGCATCAGAGAACTGCAGGCCCGGCTCTAAGCCCGACCCGGCCAGACCTTATTTTAATTTTTTAAATTTACCCGGGCCGGGCCGTATATTTTAAAACCCAATATTTGAAATCGCCATTAAATCAAAAATATTTTAAAAAAATCCGGGCCGGGCCCGAAAATTTAAAAAATAACCCGGGCCGGGCCGTATAAATGGTACCTTCGCAGGTCTCTGATATATATATATATATATATACCTCAAAAGTGCTCTGAAATAAAATATGTCAATAATCGAAATTCTCGATGTAGATTTTAAACGGTTACAACTCATATATGAAGTCTATAGCTATTTATATAAACTTAGAGGTTCTGAAATTATGAAGTGAAGTAAAAGGGGGTAAAACAAGAGATGGTAGGGGGGGGGGGGGTTAAAGTTGTTATAGCTTATTAATTTAATGTGATTATTCTTTCACAATAATTATAAAAGGAAAACTAGCATCTAAAAAAAAAACTAAAGGTTTCATAAACTTTTGAAATGCTAACCTTATAAACGTCCAGCTTTTCGGCGATACCATCAAAGCAACAATATAATTCGCTAAGGAAATCTACTATCTATAAAATAAAACAAACAAAAAAAAATCAAAGTCATATATTATGAACATAAAGTTTTCATTAAATTGGTAAAGAAAGAAAGAAAGAAAGAAAGAAAGAAAGAAAGAAAGAAAGAAAGAAAGAAAGAAAGAAAGAAAGAAAGAAAGAAAGAAAGAAAGAAAGAAAGAAAGAAAGAAAGAAAGAAAGAAAAAAAAAGAAAGAAGGAAAGAAAATTTTATTTTAAACATCAAGTCAGGTATATGGAATCTACGGAGGTTAAGAAATAATTAAGTTCTTAATCATTTTATACGGTTGCGATTATTAAATATAGATTCGTTCTCCGTTGTAAATATCTTAGAACAATTTCGCAGCAAACCTTTGAACTACTTTCTTAAAAAAATGCTTAGAGTTTCAGCAATCTACACATGGCTAAAAAAAAATACTACTGGATGAAACCGATTTAAAAAATTGTGAGTTCCCAAATCATAATAAATTCCATATCCCCATATACGATAATATATTATTTAAGATATGGTTGGTAGCAAATAAAAAGAAAGACCTCAATGGGGGTACTAATGGCTGATAAATGGGTAAAGTTAACTATGTCGCTAAAATAGACGGTCACATTTCTGAATTCCTCGGGGACCACCTTTATGCCCATTTTCAAATCCATAGCTATTGGTCTTTTTTTTAAAATAAAATATTTTTTTAAAAAAACATAGAAAAATAGCGAATATTCGAAATAAAAAAAAAAATTAAACTTGGGCAAAATCTCGAATAGATATAGATCCACCCTCTCTTTTTCTTTCGCGAAATCTTTGGTCTTTTGTCCTACGAGTTCTTCCAGTGTTACGGTGTACTCTTCCAGCTTCTCCAACAACGAGTCTATGATGTTGTTAAAATTGATACGTTTGGTTAAACTTTTAAATACGTCTAGGATGCTGACAAAGGATGGTCTATTTTTAGGGTTTTCTTCCCAGCAGATGTCGATTAGGACTCTGACTTTTTTGTTGTTAATCTTTATCTGTGGGTGAAGGGGACTCCAGGGATTTCGAGGCCTTAGAGGAATATTAACGCAACTATTCCTGCGGCTATATACGGCAATTTGCTTACCGTCGTTCTCTAAGGTGCTGGAACAATCGGTAATTATAGAGGATAAACGCCTGGGCCTCAGGCCAGATAATGAAGAGCTCACACTGTTTTTATCCTTGTTCTCTCCTAATTCTCCGGCAGACCCGTTCCTGGAATGCGAAAAAGAGGCGCTGGAATGAAATTCCAAAAATGGTCGATAAGGAGGTCGCCTTCTCACCTTTAACAATTTATCCATGACCGACTTCTGTAAAAATTTTATATATTTATAATTTTGTCCGTGACTCGTGGGATTTGAATTGTACTGATGACGAGAGGAGGATAAAAATATTTCAAAAGGATTTACATCCCGATCCAAATCTTTCAGCGTCAGGGTACTATCGGGCGATAAAGTTGTATTAGAAACTTCGGTGCCGTTTAAGGTTTCCAAAAAATTGTAGTAGAAAGGGGGTCTCCTAGTTGCTATCTCCGAGAGAATGATGGCGAAGCTGTAAATATCGCCTTGTTTGGTATTGGCGCTTAACTGGTGAATAAGGTTCACGTTTTTATTCAAACTATCCGCGTGGCACGCGACGATTATAGGCACGATCTTCCTCAAATGCTCCGGAGCAACCCAAAGTAAATGCTTTACCACGAACGCCGAAATATCCTCCCTGATTACGTCTTTCCTTAAGTATTCCTCGTAAAAAGTCGGCAACCCGAATCCCGTTATCTTGGCAGAAAATCTGTTATCAACAATAATCTGAGACGTGGTCAATCGTCCGTGACAGCCGATGGGAGATGAATGCAAATATAACATTCCCTTTCATTTTATATAACATATTAAATATGATATTTAATAATTATCTTATGAAAAAAACATTATTACTTTTTAACATCGATTAATACCCAAGGATCCAAACTGAGCCACCATATAAGATATGCGAGAACTTTGAACATTTTTTGATATCTTAACCGTTTAAATATTTATCGGTCCCTCCCAAACGTAGTTTTGTATTTTTCTCATTTGACGGCGCTCAGCTTAGCGCATAGAAGCGTTCTCAACCATAAAATTATATTTCTGTCGATTAATATTTACGAGAATCTTATTGGTCCATACAATCTCAAGGGATTCGATTTTTTTTATAGCTAAACAATTTCAAAATGACTCTTTATTTTTTTTTGGGGGGGGGGGGGGTATGTTTAAAATATCTTCAGGGGTCTCCTCAAATTTTTCAGAGGAGATTGAGTCACCCATACGCTTCCCCTCCCCCTAGTGCTGCTACTGATTGTATTTTTGCTTATTGCTATTCATTGTCTAAGGTAAAGGCCTTCATTTTTAGTTTTCGGTATTCGATGTATTACAAGGCAATTATTGGCATGAATAAATGGTTGGAAGGTAATATAGGAATATTTGGCAGTTTTTCTTTGTTCTGCGTCGGCAAATAGCATCATTGTTTAAGTTGGAGGGCGCGAGTGGCTCTACAAAGGAAAAATTCCAGGTTAAGAACTCACAATTCTTCCATGGAATCTTGGATAAGCTATCAGGGCGTTTACTATTAGCGTTTCAAAGTCGAGTTGGCTCAAAGAGTTGAAAGGATTCTAGCAGATTTTCAGGCAAAAAAACATGTTTGTTATATAATTCATAATGTACACTTTAATGTGCAATAAGAATAAACAAAACTTTATAGTTATTTTTTTTACATGGGTTTTTCAGTGATAAACATTTTTTTTTTAAATGGGTAATCTCTATTTCTAATCAGAGTTGGTATTGGTGTTGTTACACCGCCAGATTTGAGTCGATTTTTAAAAACGAACTAACTCAATATTTTTAGTTAAAAAAAATATTTCCTTACAAACCTTTTTGCCATCTATGTGCAAGATTCTTTAGGTAATGTCTTTGGTTAATTGGCTTAAATCGTTTAACAAAACTAGTTTGTACGACTAAATATTACCGGGTTTTAAAAGTTTAAACCGAACAAGTATCATCACTTTTTCTAAACCAAACCTTGATCCTGAACTGAAATTTGTGTTTTATCTGAATCCAAACCTCAATCAATTAACTTTACATCTCGGATCCCTGAATTATTCACAAAAAAAAAATAAGACCCAAAATCCTTTTTTTTTTAAATTTCGAAAAGTTTTGAAACTTTTAGAATTATATCTGGTCATGTTTTTATTTTTATATATTTTTATTTCTTCTTTTCTCGATAAAGTTTAAAAAATTTGCGAATTTCGAGTTTTTTAAATATCTTAGGACACATCCTATAAGTAGAACAAGTGGAAAATTTAAAGATATAGCGAAATTTATATTCGAAAAATCATTTTTATATTATAGCAAATAACCCTATATCGAGCTAAATAAAAAAAATTTTTTTAAGTGCGAACAGAATTGCGAAATCTTAATTGCTTGTTAGGGATATAGACATTATAAAACCATTAAAAAAAAATTAATATAAAAAAATACGAAAATGATGTATATTATAATAGTATAACTAATAATATTAAAACCTATATTATTATTATTATTATAAGGTTTAAAAAAATAAACTAACTTTAATAATGTCATTGATTATTGAATATTGAATTATCAAATCCAATTGAAGCGTCTCTTTGGCTAAGAGCTCGGTTAGGTTAAGCTTCGAAACGAATTTCGTTACAACGCAAAAGTAATTTTTGTCGTAACAAATGCCCATAAATGTGGAAAGGTTATCATGGCTGATTACCTTTATATGACGAATTTCTTGCAAAATTTTGTTATTAATTTCCATTCTTTCGCTCATTTCAACCTTTTTGATGAATACTATGTTGCCTTGGTAGGAACCGTAAAAAGATGGATCAAAGCGCGAGGAACTAAAGCTCTGTCATCAGGATTTATTATGATAACGTTTTAATAAAAATTAAGAAAAAAAATCAAGAAAATATTTACAAGAGTAGAGATATTATTGACATTTAAATTGAGTTCTTGCGATTGTATCTTCCATTTGCGGTATTTAAAATAATTATCTTCATTCTGTTTTCTATTCATGAATTATTTTAAAATTATAAAACATTTTTTGAAAAAAAAATATATATTATAATAATGCATATACATCTAATATGCTAAGTCTTAGTTAAGTCATGGTTTACCACGGGGAAAAAAGTTTTCGAGACAGGAAAAAAAATTAACTTCAAAATCGTAAAATACTCCAAAAAATTAGTGTCAATCATTTATCCAGAAAAATATTACGTAAGCCTAAAGATTTTGCTCATAACAAAGGTCAAGACATGATATTATCGAAATTTAGAGGCTTAGGCAATATTTTCCTGGCGAAAATATCGAGTTAGCCGTTTTAAAAAATCGGCTCAAAACGAGCCATTTAAAACACTCCAAAAAAATGATGGGAAATATATTACAAATATAATTTTTTTTAAAAAAAACTAAAAATAGTCTCAAAATAATCTGGGGAAAAATATTCAAACAAAAATGAACTAAATTTATTATTAGTAAACATGCAGGGCAGTTTGAAAACTAGAGAATGTAAATTAAATTAGATAAATTTAGGATATAAAATCTACATATAAACTAATGTAAATGCACTATAATATAAATTTAATAATAGAAAAATTTACCAAGGAGCAATATTTAATTTATAGGCATGATATTTTAGAAGGTGCTTTATATCGTCAATCCGTTAGTTCAGATAAAAAATCTTAATAAAAATTACAAAATAGCCCCCTCTATCCCGAGTCCCAATGCCTGAGTTGAAACCTTGACTTTCACTTAAATTTCCCTTAAATGCAAAACTATTCAAAATTTTATGTCACTTTATTTAGATAAAAAACACTAATCTAACATTACGAAACCAATGGTGACAAAGCATAAGAGGCCCTCCGCGATCACTTCTTTTATGCTGCGTTTATAACGCAAACTCTTGTCCAACAGGCGATTTGCGTTTTTAGATCTTTTTGCAGCAAAGTGAGATAATTTTAAAAAATATAAAAACATTATTATAAATATGAAATTTACTCGAGTTATTATTATTTCAAAAAAAAAATATTACGCGTTCAACAGCTGATATTAAAAAAAAATTGTCAGATTTTATGGCAGCCATTAAAACGCTCGGACAATTTGTCACCTATCTTTTAATATCGCGATATTTTTTCTCGAGCGTTTTAAACGCAAAAAAAGAAGTGATCTAAGATGACGTCTTAAAATTTAATTAAAATTTTAAATAAAAACAAGAAAACTTGATCAAGTACACGCTACTAAATATAGCAACTATGAAAACAACGATGACACTTAAACTGATTAGCATGATGACCATCGGTAAATATTTCGATCTCTTGAGTCTTTTAATTTTATGGCATCTATGGCTTTCATTCAACTTCGTGACAGGGTTAAACATGGTACAAATAGCCATCCCTAGTGGGGGTCCTTTTATCCAATCTACATTATCTACGAACTGCAACCGAAATTCTTTGCTCCTATAAATGGCTACTTCTTTGAATATTCCGCTATGCCTATTGACCATGCCATAAATCGAGAAATCGGCTTGTCTATCACCGAATTCATCCAAATTTATTTTACCCGTCACACCTGTTTTATAAAAAAGAAAAATAATGATGTAACATACATACATACACCCAATTTAAAAAAAAAGGATATTTAAATAAATATAACATTGAATGATTTAGGCATAACTAAGTCATTCTTAGAGGAGGGAAGATGAAAGGGAGGGTGGGGGGGGGGCTTAAAATTTATTTTAACTTTTATTTATAAATTCGTTTAATTATCGAGAATGGGTGGCTGGTAGGTGTAGACGTATCCATTATCGAAACTTCACAAAAACCTTAGGTCCAGTCCTCCATCTGGTTACGACAATGTGATAGTAAATATGTCCTCGAGGAAAATTATAATAAGTAGGCATAGTTATGTTAAAATTGGATCTAATCGAGTTTTTTTTTATTATAATAGTAATGGATGTTTAGATGATGAAAGCAAATTAATTTTCTATGAAGTGAAATGGGGGCTCTGCAACTTGTATTTCTTGTATAATTGCTGGTCGCCTTTAACTTTCAAAATCAAAATATTAATTCATTACAAATGATACATAAAATTTGACATGAGGTTAACGAGTCAACGTATAGCAATTAAAGGCAATATAAGATCCATTTTAAATATAGATAAACCCCAGCCCGAATCACTAAGCCTCCCTTCAATCCTAATTCAAACCTTTATAATATATTTTATAAATTCAACACTAAATATCCTTACCCTATATAAAAAATAGGCAGTTTGCCGAACTTAATCCATCTTTTAAAATAATATCAATGTTACTCTAATCTTAAGTTAAAAGTTTTATTTTATTAGGGAGTTTGTTTAAAGAAATAAAGAAAACAGATTCCCCCGAGGTAAATGTTTATAAGTTAACTCATTTCTTAAATACAAACTAATCCTAAAAGCCAACCACTAATCCTATCCCTGAGTTACTAAAATAATTTCACCGGAATTCCTGAAAGACTCGAATCAGTTATATAACTTTTGAGTGACACTCATGCCATAATATTTATAAAATTATGAAACGATTCTCCTAACAAATTTAAAAAAAAACATATAGGTCTTCATAAAAACTTGGTTTAATAGGTTTCAATGACGTATAATAATACCTAGACTGATTCATTAAAAGTGTATATCAATGAAAAACAGCTGGGGACGCCATTTTTATTATCCCATATCATTATTAAAAAATATTTTAAACGAGAGGCCAATTTATTTCCTATGTCTGACGCCAACTTTAACTAAAGAATTGTCTGATCATCGAGATAGTAAGGAAGCAAGTTATCAATTTAATAGTAGTTATTTAACATGAGAATAATTACTGTATAGGTTATCAAAATGGCGGGTCCAGCTGATTTCCATTTCAACGACGCTTTCTAATGCATTATTATGAGTGTATCTTCAGGTATTATTATATGTCATTGAAAGGGTTCACACGAAAATTTAAAATTAAACTGCTTTTTTTTTAGGAGAAAAACAAATAACACTATTTAATATGAGGTTACTATTTGATCTATCGAAAGATAACCTTAGCTTTACATATAAATAAAACCACTATTCAATAAATAGAGGAGGAAGAATAAAAAAAGAAGAAAAAAATCAAAGATTATAATTAAAAATTTTGATTTTTAAAGGACCTTCAAAGGAAGAATTCCAAAATTTGTCGGGAACGATCTTTGAGGAGGAGTCACCCGAGCTATTTAAAGTAAGGGCATACATAACTAAACAATCGTGAAAGGCTCCGATAAAGTAATTGACCTAAAACATAATATATATACTTTTATTATGTGTTTATTTTTTTTAAAATTTCTAAATATTATGTGTCATTAAAAAATTTCGAAGCAATATATATATATCACAGACCTGCAGGCCCGGCCCTTATTTTAAATTTTTTAAATATACCCGGGCCGGGCCTAAAAATTTTTTTTAAAAATATCCGGGCCGGGCCGGGTCTAAGATTGTTAAACCCGGGCCGGGCCGTGTCTTAATATTTTTTATAAAAATTTTTACATTATGAGTTAATGGTTATAAGATTATATTATATTATAGTTATGACTAATATAAAATTGTGTGATGGTTAACACTACCAAACACCCACAGATCGATCTAATTATTAATTTCCTGCAAATTTATTCAAAGTATTAATATATTTTTTTATAACTCATATCTAAATTTTTAGAATATATTTTACCAAAACAATCAAATAAAGGAATATCACTTCTTGAAGTTTGTAATACCTTTCAAAGCGAAAAAGGAGAAATAAAATTGATTTTACTTAATATAAAGCATTTTTTAATTGAAAAATTTGTTTTACACAAGTATCATTTTATTTCTCTTTTTCTCTGTCCCAAATTCAAGCAATTAAGTATATAGTCAGGGACAGATCGCAAGATGACGGAAAACTATATAAAAGATTATATTAAATTACAAGAGGCTCAGGAAGTAAATGAAATAACATCGACCAGTCAAATTACGACTGTTGTTCAACAAACTGAATCGTTTTATGACAAATGAGGCGATGGTAATTCTGGTAATATGTCAATACCCGATGATGAATATTATAATTACATAAATAAAAAGATGAAACATTTAAGGTGGATAATTTGTTAGAGTGGTGGGCGGCTCATCAAAGCGAATTTCCAATTTTAGCAAAATTGGAAATTCCTGCTTCAAGTGCAAGCTGTGAGCGGAATTTTTCCACTACGAGAATTCTTGAAGAAAGAAGAAGTAATCTTCAACCTGAAAAGGTAGATATGCTTCTCTTTCTTCATGATAATTTGTGAATTTTTAATATCTTTCTTGAGTATAGGGTTTCGTCAATCATGCTGGTTTTTTACTTTGCAAACTGTCAAATATTTATTGCATTTATTATATTTACCTTGAGTCATGAAAGTTTTTAATCCAACATTTTTCATTATTTTTTTTTACAATATTATATAATACAATTATCTTCTTTTGTTAAAAATTTATATTATAAAAAATTATATTAATATTGTGCAATTAGATTATATTTTCAAAATACTATTTATTATACATGCATTTTTTAAATAGCGATTTATTTTTATTTTATAAATTAAATAGTAAATTAAATACAATATATTATATTCTCAAAATATTTTCCATTTTTATAAATTAAATATTAGTTTTATTTTTTTTAAATGCAATATAAAATATAGTATATGCTCAAAATATTATTACCATTTTTATGAATATTAGTTTTATTTTTATAAATGCAATATAAAATATAGTATATGCTCAAAATATCCATTTTTATAAATAACAGTTTTATAATTTTTATAAATTCAATATAATATTCTCAAAATATTAGCTTTTTACATGTATTTTTTAAATAATAAGCGATAAAACTCGCTGAAAAATATGGTAAAATACCTCATAGGTGAATTTTTGTATATACCAGGTCGAATATAATTTTAAAATATTCCGAGCCGGGCCTGAAATTTTTAAATCCGGGCCGGGCTGTAAAAATTTAAAACCGGGCCAGGCCGAGCAAATGGTACCTCTGCAGGTCTCTGATATATATATAGAGTTCTAGACCTTTTTTTTCAAATATATACTGAGTTATTTTTGAAATTTAGAAATAAATAAATAGTTCAGGAAACAATAAGAGGAAATCTTGATGTACAAGTCAAACTCCAAGTCAATGAGATAAGTAAGAAAGAAAGAAAAAACTAGGATAATATAGTTCAAAATTTAAATCATTTATAGAGTTCATTTTTAATTTTTTAAAGACCTGTTTAAAATGCAAACATGACCGGGATGACTTTTTGGCGTCCCGGAGAAAAAATAAATTTGACAGACCTTTAAAAATCGAAGTTATCTAAACCCCTTAAAAAAATGGGGGTTAAAAACTTTTTTTTAAGGTGGCAATATGCGAATAAATAGACATAATTTTTAATTTTACCTTAGATATTATAATATTTTAACTCAAATTCCACAATAATTATAATCGGTTTGTGTCTGGATTGAAAAAGAAAAGAACAGGACTCTGGTTACTATGCAAATGTTGGAATGGAGCAAAATTAAAGTCTTAAAAAAAATATTAAATATGATAAGAATTTTAAAGATTTCGTCATACCTTTAAATTCCTCTTCCAAATGCTTCCCCTACTATATATATATATATAATAGTTAGGAAAACAAAGGATTCGAAAGACATCATGGAAACTACTGTTACTAATTTGCCGGGTAGAGCCAGCCAATTCCCACTCATTTAGAGGATTTAATAGCATACTTCGTCTAAATAATCCTACAGATGAGTTGTATCGTTTTACGTGAACATAAAAAAAACAATATCAAAGAATATGAGATTGGAAATGATTGAAATAAATAATTAATACATCTCCATTGTAATAGTAATCGTAATCTTTCAATGCTCTGATTTTCATTTCGCGATTAAATTTGTACCATTTTTCATCCTTCCATACCTTTAAGCTGATAACTAACAACGAATTATAAACTCTTCTAGCGACATAGTCATCTTTATCGCCTAAAAAAAAATGATATAGAATAATATTTATATAATAACTTTTACGTTAGACAAATTTTTAATTTTTTTCAAAATGCTTATAATTGTTATTGGAACCCACTTACATAGGCATAGCGGGAACGGGGCATGGGATAATGGGAAATCCAGCCTTCAAAAATTTTCTTGTTTAAATATATTTTTATTTTAATTTAATATCCCCCCCCCTATCTACCCCCTCCCCCCCCCCCATACCCAAATCTATATTATATGAATCTTTGTCATAACGCCGATGATTTATAAATATTTTTTTAAAACAATGGAGAGAATGGGCAGGCGAGTCGAAATATTTTATAGGCGGAAAATGAGCTTATATTTCATAATTTTTGCTTATTTGATAAGTGTAAAAAATACGGGAATTTATTAAGATTATTTTTTTTACCTTTGGACCAAATAAAATTTTGCAGTAAATTTTCGGGATACAATTCGATGGTCAAGAATAGATATTTTCCTTTACTCATATCCTTTTTATCGGCCAATAAAAGAATATTGCGCATCTTACCGTATTCCATGAGAAGTATTACGCCTTTATAAAATGAAAGTTTTCGAAAAATTAAAAATAAAATGATGGAGAAAAAAACAAGAAACCTTTGGCGATATCTTTGACGTCTTCCAGAAATTCTGCCGGCACGAAAGATGCTTCTTGGTTGCTATCAAAATAGATGGCATTCACTAGCAAGTAATACGGATCGCTTCTAAATGTAGTAGTCAAACGTCCCACCAATTCTAGGGCTCGGTTCCATTTGATATCGGAAATTATCACAACTTCTCTATGATTGTAATGTTTAAGCACGAGGTCGAGAGCATTGATTTGCCCTGTTATATAAAAAAAATGCAAATAATTATAGATCTTACAAATCTCAAAACATTTTGTTCTTTCTTTCTTTCTTTCTTTCTTTCTTTCTTTCTTTCTTTCTTTCTTTCTTTCTTTCTTTCTTTCTTTCTTTCTTTCTTTCTTTCTTTCTTTCTTTCTTTCTTTCTTTCTTCCTTCCTTCCTTCCTTCCTTCCTTCCTTCCTTCCTTCCTTCCTTCCTTCCTTCCTTCCTTCCTTCCTTCCTTCCTTCCTTCCTTCCTTCCTTCCTTCCTTCCTTCCTTCCTTCCTTCCTTCCTTCCTTCCTTCCTTCCTTCCTTCCTTCCTTCCTTCTGAAGAAACCTTCAAAATATACTTTTTTTTTCTACGTAATAATATGTATTTCTATATTATCGCAAATTGGAAACCTCGACTACGATACGACAATCTGGTTATGGTTTTGAATTTGCGGATATCCAGAAATTCGAATATAGAATAACCGGTGCAGATGGGCAAATGGTAATACGACGCGACAGGTGCCACTACAATCATATCTCGAGTGCAAGGGGGTCCCACTATAAATGACAACGGAATCCTGTACTTTAAATCGGCCAAACCACCTATGGCCAACGCGGGCAGGCAGTTTTCTTCCTCTTTTGAGGGTGTGAATGTTCCTCCTAGTTTACGCTCAAAATTCGAATACTCGGGGGGTCTAAAAGAATTTATTTATTTATTTTAAAAATAAATAAATTGTATACGATCAAATATCATTAAATGTAACCGCGTTGGTTGGCCGGATTCGGAAAAGTTATTGCGCCTTGTTGTAATTGCGGAGTTATTTGATTCTTTATGATGTAAATTGACATTTTTTTAGTAGTAGGAAGGAAGGAAGGAAGGAAGGAAGGAAGGAAGGAAGGAAGGAAGGAAGGAGGAAGGAAGGAAGGAAGGAAGGAAGGAAGGAAGGAAGGAAGGAAGGAAGGAAGGAAGGAAGGAAGGAAGGAAGGAAGGAAGGAAAGAAAGAATGAAAAGAAAGAAAAATATAATTTATGAAATATTTGTAAAGGTTACTTACTTGTCTCGATATGATACACTATCGAATATTTGATTAATTTTAACCCTCTTTTCTTGTTAAGCTCGTTAAAATAATCAACTCCAATGTCTAGGGCAGGTTGCAATTTGTGCATGTAAATTAAACTATTTGGATCATCGTTCATAATAGCTACCATATTAAGATTTTCGGGTAAAATCGTTGGAATATTAAGCCATATTATGAATAACACTATCATCTTTAATTTTTTTTTTTAAATATTAAATATAAAATATATTTTGATAAAATATCAATTATAAAAAGAATAAAATTAATTAAAAAACAATTAATAATAAATCAATATTTATCGTCCAAGTGTTAAAATTATTTAATCGATTTTATATTAATTATATGCAAACTAAAAGCCATTGATATGATCAACATAAACTTATTAAAGAACAACTCAAAATGACGAGAGATTTTTGGGATCAATAAAATATAATCTCGCATTAACTTAATTATGAGGGAAAAAAATGAGGTATGATCCATCTTTCTAAGAGTTTTCTTCCTGATATATCTTATCTAAGCATTATTGAGGGGGAACACTGGTGAATTGGATTGCAAACAACCAAAATAGTTCATATGCGATTGGTTTTGTTCCTTCTTATTCTGCCAAGAAGTCTTTGGGTGAAAAAAAAATACAAAATGTGTATACGGAAGTTTGGACCAGACTGTGTTAGATCTATTTTACAAATTTTCATTTGTTTAAAAATAGTTTTTTTTGGTTTTACTGATAAACCTGATTTTTATAGACTGTTTTAATAACAGATTATAGAATCTCCGAAGGCCCCCTTACATGGGCGATACAATTCCGTTGCGTCGCTGAAACCCTAGGGGTATATTCTAAGCCTCGTCAATATCCATTTTATATTTGAATTATTATTATTTAGAAGGTCTGCTGGATTAAAACAAGTTTCCAAAAGAAATCCAAGATAAAGTATTTGTGGATATTTATAAAAAATAATAGCAGTCATTTATTTTTTTACCAAACAAAAATATATGAAAAGTGATTTTTATAGAAAGGAAAGAGGTAATAAAGACAATTTCTTTTATATTAGATTGCTCTATTTAATAAATAAACTTCAGCAAGGATTTTGACCAATTTTCAGATAAATTGGTCCGATAGATAAAAAGAAGTTAGAGTAGTAGTCAGTCATCAAACATCGCTATTTATGCCACTTCTACCCTATTACAAATATTTGGTTATGTTACTGCATTAGATTTTATGATAGAATTTAAGCAATTTTGTCCTAAAATCCTATAGGTATAGGGCTTGCACAATATGATTGAAATAATAGAGTCCCACTTGTTTTTAATTTAAATCTTAAAAATCTTAGAGCGCTTCTAATGAATATATTTATTTGATAATCATATCTAAATTTTGTAATAAAAGTATATTCTAGTCTGGATGTGATATTTTATCTCAATGGAAATTTTTTTTTTGGTATAAATTTTAATTTTGGGATGTACAAGTAATTCTAGCAAGTGATCTGCGACATTTCTAACTGAATTAAGCCATAAATACTAGTTATTCGTTGCATATACCGTTAAATGTAAACTTATCTATCTCCTTTAACTTAAGAAGTTATGTTCTCCAAATCTAACTTGTAAAATATAATCTTATAGTGCACACAAATTGAGCGTTTACGTTTCGCCGTAATTTTTAAATAAAAAAAACGTAAAGCGCCTTCCTTGTTTAAACTGATATCCGCGTGGATTCAAAATTTGAAATAAGTTCTAAAAAAAAAGGATGTCATTGAAAATTATATTATCGTCTGCCTTCTGATTTCTTTAATTTCTAAATATTCCTTTTTATAGGATATAAGTAAGTTATTTATTATATTACATTTTATCTAATATTACAAAGCGAAGAATAAAAAAATAGTAATAAAAAAGCAAACTTATTTGCGTTTTTTTAAATGGTTGCTAAAGCCAAACGGTAATTTTACCAATTTACACGGGGCCGTTTCCAATGCTCAATTGTAAAATTTTAGGCACTGATCCTAATTTATCAATTTTAATCATATTAGCGTAAAAGTTAAGATTAGTGTTTTTTATATCGATATTTTGAAAAACTAATTTTTAAATCGCCAAATTATTATACTGCCCAGACCTTATCAGAGCGAACATTTCTTTTTTAGATGCTAATTCTTGAGCGTATGTATCTTTTAAAGCAAAGTCTAGGCGTTAAGCCGATTAACCTTAGAACGAAATGTACAAAGACCACGTTATTACTATTATCATCCTCATTTTGATCCGGCAAGTGAGAAATATATATTTTTTTAAAATTAATGGCATTTTTGGCGTTCATTTTTCTATCTTTGAAAACCTTAGGTTGCAAAAAGATTAGTTTTACTAATGAACCAATATATTTTTTTATTCATTCGCCAAAAAAAATTACAGATAAAAATTGTCCAACTCACATTAGGCTCGAAATTATTTATTTAAATATTTTCGCATTGTAAAATATACAATACATTCAAATCGGTCAATAATAATCTTAGTAATTTAAATTTAATATTATAACAATATTAAATTAAAATACGAATCAGCCAAAAAAATGGGCATAATTATTTTAAAATAAAATAATCGAAATCATGTAATTAGCAATGGCCAATAATCTTCGAATAATAAATTATCTTCGCCTTAATCATAATAAATTACTATACAAGTTATAATTATAAGTAATTTTTTTTTTGAAACAGGAATGAGATTATTAAATTTATTTTTCTTAAAAGCTAAAAAATTATTAATTTTAGAAGATGATAACCGCTAATTTTTTTAAAAAATATATTTGAAAATGTTTAATTAAATTTATAGTTTTATTTTTACCACCAATCACAATAATTATATATTTGTATTTATGATTATAATTACAAGGTATTTTACATTAAATTATTTGTTTACAAAAAAAATATATATATTATATAGATAATTAACAAGGTAAAAAAAATTCTATTTTCATAATCTACAACAAATCCTGCCTTTTTAAATCTTCGTAAGTTTTGCGATTCACAACATTTCCTTCCGTATCCTCAAACTCTTCCTATAAATGAGTTAAATATTCAATGATTAAAAATAATTTATTCAAGGTTTATAGATGTTTAGCGTCAATGTGTTATTTATTTAACTTTAAATAATTGTGTGAGCCCGTTTTTTTGAAAATTAAAAATTCTGATTTTACTGGAAATGTATGCAGTCATGTTTGGAATACCTACCCAATGAATTTCAGACAATTTTTCCCACGAACTTTTAAACTTAATTTAATTTATATTAAACTTTTCCATATATTTTTTTTATATAAATTATATATGACACAAAAGATATCGATAAAATTATCTACAATTAATAAGATAGGGATTCTAAACATGCTGGAATACATTTCCAGTAAAATCAAAAAAAAACGCGCTTAAAAATGATAAGTTAAAAAAAAGGTAACACATTAACGCTAACATATATATTTATCCAAAAAATAAAATAATTATTTTAAAAAAATTGAAATCTCTAGGTATCATAATATACATATTGGAAAAAAATGGTAATAATACCTCCAATTCAGGCTTCCACCTTTCAACGACTTTCTGATTCTTTATTTTCTCCCAAACTATAAACGCATATATTATTAAAGAAAATATTAATAATTTATTAATGTTTATTTAAACTATTAAAGCAAAATATAGTAATAAAAGGTAGGCTAAAATCTTACAAGGAAATAATATTTTAACCCCCCCCCCTTTTCTCCCAAAATGATGATAAATTAGTTTTTCAAAAAACAATAATATTTGATTTCTTGAAAAAAAAATATTTATGGCAAAAAAGTTTAACTAAAGTAATATGTCAAAGAAAAGAAGGAATATCTTCTCAATGACTATTCGAAAAGATAACAGATGGCAACCCTACCCAAAATTTATAAAATACTCCTAAAATTTCTGCCATTTATAAGTTTTAAAAGCCTAACGACTATAAATATTATTAGGAAATTGCAACCGACTAAAAAAAAGTGATGTCTTGGAATATTGTATACTTTCAGTGTATCAAAGATTGATTAGGTATTCATATGATAAATATACTGGAAATCCCAATTCTAACCAACAGTTCGTTACAACTATGGATTTATTAAAGTATTGAGTTACTTTTTTGTAAATAAACTAATGTTTACAGCACCAAAATAATCGATATTTACTTTTAATAAAATCCTGTCAAAAAATTTTACAAATAAAGGTGGAAAAATTATCACAAATAAAAAAGAAATTGTCCAATTACGAGTTATGGCGTCTTCAATAAGCGTTACGTTTGCGAAGTGGGCTGTATTGGGGATACCTAAGCATCTCATACCATGTGCGTGCCGCCATTCCTAGTTGATTTTAAAAAAAATTTTATTATATAGATATTGATATTAAAATAAATGGTATTTGTGGGGGAAAAAAATGAAAGTTAATGATTTTACTGAAAAATGCCTCTGGAAAGCTTTTGGACCTCTGTAAACTTGGTTACCGCATATTTCGCAGTTGTAATTTATGTTCAACCCGTGTAATTTATACAACCAATAAGGGATAGGCTATTGATAAATATAAAAGGTATAAGTGTAAAAAAAATATAAGTAAATAAATAATAATAATAAACATGTAGTTCGCAATGTTATAATAAGCATGATAATGATTTGGGTCAGCACAAACTGATATTAAGATGCATAACTAACTCTTTATAGAAATAAGTTTATTATTAAATAGAGGTTGACATTGGTATTCTAATTAAGATGTATAAAATTAAATTCATATATATCAAACTGGACACACAGGTTATATTAATATTTTATATCTAATATATCATAATTTAAAATTTAAGAAAGTGGGTTATAATATAGTGTTGTTAAACGGCTCGATTTGCATTTTAAATATGGCTAACTCAATATTCTATTCAGAAAAATATTACGGAAACCTGAAGATTTTGCTTATAGATGCATCTATCAGCGAAATCTCGTGGCAATATTTTTTCTGCCTAAAATATTGAGTTAGCCATTTTTAAAAATCGGCTCAAAACGAGATGTTTAACAACACTAGTTATGTCTTATGTAATGACTCAAATATTTAAATGATATGTCACATCTTCTTAATTTGCAAAAAAAAGAATTTTTAAATAAATTGATTTGAAAAAAAAATTTATTTTTTATAAATTATATTTTGTTCGATATAAGATCCCAACCTGCTGTCAAATTTGATATAATACAAAACGAGTTATAGGTATATTAATAACCTTGCCGTCCCAATCTAAGGGCAAATTCTTAGGGTTGTAGGGGGTTCCGTCGTCATCATCAGCCAGAAGGCCTTCCTCGTCGTGAATCTCTTCAAAATCGTCCGCTTCATCATCGTCGTCATAAAAACCGGCAGCTTCTCCGACTCCCGTGGCCTGTTTGCGTTGGACGTTCTCTTTGCTATCGGCTTTTTGTTCCTTATAGACCAAAAAAAATAAATACATTTAATTTTTATTTTAAAAAGGAGCGAAATAAAAGAGTTGTATAGTGCTATACTGCGACAGGTCGAAAATCCTCAGAACGTCATTTAAAAACGGAGGTGTGACCCCGACCCTCCTGAATCTTGGTATTTTGATTGTACCCGAACCCAGACGCTTTTAAAAAGTGGAAGGTTCAAGGGTTCTAAGTTTCAAAAAAAAATTTTCCTTTTTAAATTCATGAAAAATAAATTAAAATCTCTTTTTTTTTGAGAAATTATTTATTTTTATCACTTCATATTTTTTAAAATTTTCTGGTTTTTATACTTTTCATTTTAACAGTTAATATCTTATTTTCATTTTTAGAAAGTGACATGCGGAAATTTTGTAGTGTAGGTAATAATATTATCTTATAAATGATCTAATATATAATCTCCATAATTAAAACATGATCGTTTACGTATCATCTATATGTATCAAAATTAGGGCTGTGCCAAAATTAAATATCGAATAGGCGCCGATATTTAGCGTTTTCCAAAAATATCGGATCGGACACTTGTAAAAACCGATTTGATCTTTTTTGTTATTTTATGTTATGCATATTTATTTTATATTATTATAATAATATTTTATTTATAATATAATTTTTTTTAATTATAGTCTTAATTGTAGACATAAAAAAATTAAATACATAATTCGATATTTTGCATAAAAAATCTTGGTTTCTTAATTAAATTTGGTTCAAAGGGGGGTGGTGAAAAATCGGTATAAATATTGGATCGGTTTTGTACCAATATCGGAAAATATAGGATCGGATAGGTGGAAAATATGTGAATCGGCACAGCCCTAATCAAAATTTAAGGAGACTATATAGCACAATTTTAATTTTTTGCCATCTACCAGTATTGAACCTGGAGACCTCTATTTCAAAAAGTACACCCTTTGGGTATGAGCTACTTGGCATATTAAAATTATTCATAAAAATTTTATATTATATTTTGCTTTTCTCGCATTTTATTAACATTATTTTAAAAGCTTAAAAACTGGATTTATAAATGTCAGGAACAATAAGATCAAACCGTTCATCCAGATGTATCTAAAAAAATGATAAAATTAAAGGTATATTTAAAAAAGGTAGAAAGTTAATTGTTGTATAATAAATGGTATGTATAGGTGGAGTAGATTTCCAGGATATGCTGATGAGAGGTTATATAGAATAGATATAAAATGGAAAACGACACTGTATTGAGAATGAGAATAATTTCCATTTACTAGATTCATGTATTGTGAATGCCTCGCTCATGCTACATTAGTGAGTAATCTTTAAGTCATAGATATCGAGAAGGTTGATGCTAGAGGGAAAGTAATAGTAGAATAGTAGAAAAACCTTCCAACGCAATCATAAGAAAGAGAAAAGTTATTAATATAGCACCAATATCTGCAGCACAGAATGTATGCCCAAGTAGTACATTTCCCATTGCCAGCAACAAAGGAAAGATGCAAATTTTGCGTGAAATATCAGAGTTACGTGTGCAATAAATATAAAGCTTATTTATATTATGAAAATATTAAAAGTAATTTGATTACGTTTTTATCTTCTCTCTTTTCATTAGAAATATATATATTTTATTTGCCCATTGATAACAATCGGAATCATAGCGTATTTTTTTTTCATATAAGTATATGTATTTAAAAAAAAATGAAAATGTGTTATTTATGTTTATGTATTAGCGTTGTTAAACGGCTTGATTTGAGCCGAATTTTAAAAACGGCTAACTCAATGTAAAATATTATGCAAACCTCAAGATTTTGCTCATAGCTGACACTAGTGTTGTTAATCGGCTTAGCCGAGTCGGCTCGAACAGAGCTGACCCAAATTTTGGGTCGTTTTTTCGACTCCGACTCAAGCCGAAAAAAACGACCTCGACCGAAAATATGGGTCGTTTTTTTCGACTTCTACTCCAATTTTGGGTCGTTTTTTCGACTCCGACTCGAAGTTTGGGCCGTATTTTTCGACTCAAGTCAAAGTTTGGTTTGTTTTTGCGACTCAGACTCAAACATCGGGTCGCTTTTTACCACTTCAACCAAAGTTGTGGTGGTTTTATTCAATCCGACCCAAAATATGGGTCGTTTTTTTAAAAGACGACCTAAGGTTTGGGTTGCTTTTTTTCACCTGACCTGCCCTAATATCTACATTTTTTGGTCCAAAAGGCTTCTAAGTGTTGACTCCAACTCCAATAAATATATAAATATAAATAATATTTATTAGATATTATTAATATAAATGGGCGGGAAAAGTTAATTAAAGCTTCTATAAATCTAATCAATGGAGAATGGCAATTGTCATCGTTATTTTTAAAAATTTTTTTGATATAAATTTGTAAAAATATATGTTGTAAATCTGTTAAATTATAATTTCAGTGAAGATGTACCATAGAAAAGTGACAATTGTCATAATCTTTATTTTTGAACTTTTTCGAATTTTTTTAAAGCAAATATGTAAAAATATATATTTTAAACATGTTAAATTAAATTTTCAATGAAGATGACCCATAAAAAATGACAATTGTCATAATTGTTATTTTTGAACTTTTTCGAATTTTTTTAAAGCAAATTTGTAAAAATATATGTTATAAACCTGTTAAATTAAAATTTCAGTGAAGATGTACCATAGAAAAGTGACAATTGTCATAATCTTTATTTTTGAACTTTTTCGAATTTTTTCAAAGCAAATAATGTAAAAATATATATTGTAAACATGTTAAATTAAATTTTCAATAAAGATGACCCATAGAAAAGTGACAATTGTCATAATCTTTATTTTTGAACTTTTTCGAATTTTTTTAAAGCAAATATGTAAAAATATATATTGTAAACATGTTAAATTAAATTTTCAATGAAGATGACCCATAGAAAAATGACAATTGTCATAATCTTTATGTTTGAAATTTTTCTTTAAAGCAAATATGTAAAAATATATAAACATTTTAAATTAAATTTTCAATGAAGATGACCCATAAAAAAATGACAATTGTCATAATTGTTATTTTTGAACTTTTTCGAATTTTTTTAAAGCAAATTTGTAAAAATATATGTTGTAAATCTGTTAAATTATAATTTCAGTGAAGATGTACCATAGAAAAGTGACAATTGTATAATCTTTATTTTTGAACTTTTTCGAATTTTTTTAAAGCAAATATGTAAAAATATATATTGTAAACATGTTAAATTAAATTTTCAGTGAAGATGACCCATAGAAAAATGACAATTGTCATAATTGTTATTTTTGAACTTTTTCGATTTTTTTTAAAACAAATGTGTAAAAATATATGTTATAAACATGTTAAATTAAAATTTCAGTGAAGATGTACCATAGAAAAATGACAATTGTCATAATCGTTATTTTTGAACTTTTTCGAATTTTTTTAAAGCAAATGGGTAAAAATATATATTGTAAACATGTTAAATTAAATTTTCAATGAAGATGACCCATAGAAAAATGACAATTGTCATAATCTTTATGTTTGAACTTTTTCTTTAAAGCAAATATGTAAAAATATATTGTAAACATGTTAAATTAAATTTTCAATGAAGATGACCCATAAAAAATGACAATTGTCATAATTGTTATTTTTGAACTTTTTCGAATTTTTTTAAAGCAAATTTGTAAAAATATATGTTGTAAATCTGTTAAATTATAATTTCAGTGAAGATGTACCATAGAAAAGTGACAATTGTATAATCTTTATTTTTGAACTTTTTCGAATTTTTTTAAAGCAAATATGTAAAAATATATATTGTAAACATGTTAAATTAAATTTTCAGTGAAGATGACCCATAGAAAAATAACAATTGTCATAATTGTTATTTTTGAACTTTTTCGATTTTTTTTAAAACAAATGTGTAAAAATATATGTTATAAACCTGTTAAATTAAAATTTCAGTGAAGATGTGCCATAGAAAAATGTCAATTGTCATAATCGTTATTTTTGAACTTTTTCGAATTTTTTTAAAGCAAATGGGTAAAAATATATGTTGTAAATATGTTAAATTAAAATTTCAATTAAGATATACCATAGAAAAATCACAATTGTCATAATCGTTATTTTTGAACTCTTTCGATTTTTTCAAAGCAAATATGTAAAAATATATATTGTAAACATGTTAAATTAAAATTTTAGTGAAGATGTACCATGGAAAAGTAATAATAGCCATTGTAATTTTTTTAAAATATTTTTAAGAAATAGGTTAAGATATAAATTGTAAATTATTTTATTATAATTTCAATGAATATGTGCCATAGAAAAGTGACAATAGTCATAAATATTTTTATACTCTATTAAATCCAAGATGAAAAATCTATATTTCATTATAGATGAACCCTAGAAAAAGATTCATGAAACAAACTATCTCATATAAATACTTCTTCAAAATCAGAAAACTGATATTATATAAATTTAGGGTTTCAAAGCGTGTTGTTATAAGGATTACCGTAATTTATAAAGTAAAGTAGCGTTCTATTAAACACTTTTACATTACCTCATAAAAAAATATTTATTAAAACATCAATAAAAATATTAATATGAATTTTTTTTTAGATTTATAATATAACGTCTATAGTATTTTTATTTCAAAAAGAATTTTTTATCTAGCTATCCTGTTAGGTATAGTATTGTTTAGCGTTACCATTAGACTATTAAGTTGTTTATGGATTTAGTCTAATTAATAAATTCTACTTGAAACTTGTGGGTGAACAAACATCCAGATAATAATTTTTAAAATAGATGATCAAATGAGATGTCAATATTAATATATTTTTTGTAATTTTTAATACAATTCTTAAACATCTTATGGCCGGAGACTGTGCCAGAAAACCAATTATCACATAAACTTTTCTAGTTTTGTTTCATATTTTATTTTATAGATTAACGATTGGACTACACATTAATGTTGTAATTTAAATATTTCTTCGTTGAAGCAACTAGTTTTGATAGAACCTA